GTGGAATTAAAATAAACACCTCGTATGTTACTAGACATTTTAAATAAAACTATCTTTTTGGATTTATTTTGATTATTTATTCCTAACGTTTCGAATGCTTTACAACAATCATGGTCACGGGAGAGACTGAGGTGTTAGACATCTCTACTTGTTACAGACCATAGTCTCTCCCGTGATCATTGCTGTAAAGCATTTGAAACGTCGGGAATCAAAAATCAAAATAAATCCGTGAAAAACTCCAAAAAGATAGTTTTATTTAAAATGTCAAATATTTGCGTAAATCTAAGAGAGTATTATGTTACTGGACATGTTAAAGAGCAATTTTTGAGTATCTCGCTAGTTCTTCTAAGCAGAACTCTTTCCAAGCCGTTGGTGGCCTCCTCACGGACTGACTTCAATCTTCCTTTAAATTAAGTTGACAATTCGAAAGTGTAAGTATAGTTGAATAACATAATTTTGATTTGATTTAATTTTCTAAGATATATCCTGAGAATACTAAAACATTTAAAATATATATAAATCATTAAGTTTTATAAAACGAATTATAAAAAGGTTATTTGTTCATAGTTTATTAAAAAAAAATCGTAATTTATGACGATTATTTTTGTTAAATCAATATCGTATCGGTATATTATAATATATTCAGGAAATGTTTTAGACCAAATGCGTATTTAGATAAATTTATATATTGTTTTTAGAATTTATATTATTTTAAATATTTAAATTGTTGTTTTTGTGGCGCAGTGTTTGAAGTTATACGCATATTATAATAACTACATATAGGTATCAATTCCTTTATCAAACTACCTATTTTCAAAATATTTGTCAAGCAAAGGCTTTGTAACATAATGAATATATAATTCATGACAAAACATAACTTGTTCGGTTTGTTTACGAGCTATTTTCATTATATTAATTTGTCATTTTTTTTAATTTGAAATTATTAACACTCATAAAGTTTAGGGAGGGACAGATAAAATATTGTATAGAATTTGAATATTGAAGAAATAAAAAAAATACTTGTTAAAAAAATAATTAGTAAGACATGCCCTTGTTATTTCGATAAAAAACAAAAGTTTACGTCCTTGTTGAAATTTTTCTTTTCACATTCCTGCATAAAATGTGAAAAATAAATAAATAAAATTAAACATTAACCAAACAAAATTGCTTTAATACATATAAATTCATATTTTTATTGGTTAATTCATTAAATTTATTATTTAGCAATAAATACATATATGAATATTTTTGATAATATTCTTGTATCCATAAAAGTTTAAGTTATTGAATTATTTAATGCAAAACCTGTTCATAATTAATTATAATTTATAGTGCGACGATGTTGCAACTTACATATAAACTGAGCGTTTAGTCGTAGCTATTTAAAGTGATTTGATTAATCACCAATCAGAATGAAATTTCCAAAAAAAATACTAATAGCATTTTAAATATCACTTAATTATTACAATATAAAAAAAAACTATTGCATAATATTAATATTTATCGAGAATACATCAAATGTTATTAGGAACATTAACTAAACGCTTAATATTAAAAAATAATCACAAGTTTATATAAATCTATTTAGTATCTAAAAATCTATACATATATAATAAAATTCTAACTGAACCGAATCTGTGCATAAAATATTTTTTTGAAAATCTTATTGAAATAGACATTATTATCGATACAGAGGCCAAATCTATAGTTTTTAGAATTTTTGTCGGTCTGTCTGTCCGTACGTCCGTCTGTCTGTCTGTCCGTGTGTCTGTCTGTCTATCTGTCTGTCTGTCTGTCAGTTACCGCATCACGGAAAAACCACTGGAGAAACTTTGATGAAATTTGTTATGATGATAACTTGTTATCAGGGCCAACATATAGGATACTTTTTATTGCGGGAAAATATCTCATTTCTGAGAAATCTATACTAAACGTTAAAAGGTAAGTAGAGACAACCCCGAGCGGAGCGAGGGTAAGTCGCTAGTAATGTTATAAAAAGAAAAATATGCTGGCCTCTACGGTTAGTATTTTGAAACAATGATAATTTGGCCTATTTAAACGATATTCGATCTTATCGAACATGACAATACCGCTCATTAGCAACTTAATAGTAAATCTGTATCGGTCGATATCAAAACTACAAAGTCCTATTATTATAAGGCTTCTCTTCCGTTTGCTGAAACCTCACGAGTGCTACTTGTATGGTTCATCAACTTATTGTCGTAGGGTCAGCAAGCGATAAGGAAGAATAAGTTAATATTTTGACGTTTCTACCGATTTCTAGAATTTTATGTTATTATTCTCTTTATATTATTCCACTTGGATAGAAGTTTGCATAAGACTTAGCCAGTGGTTAAGCCTGATATACTGAGCTTCATACCTACTAGGGTACTTTACGTCTAACCTATTTTTTTCTTTAAAGAATACAGTCATTATTTTTGATTTATCCAGCATTTGTAGGTTTCCATAACCTTCAGACGAAAATGGAACCTTTTAAGTTTCCGTTTATGTCCGTCTGTTCGTCAATAACCATCACCGTCATTTCGTTTAGAGAGTATTAGTTCTTTATAAAGATAGTTTAGAAGAGCAGCTATCTATTCCATGTGAAGGTGTAAGATAATTATGAAGAGTAAAAAAAGTTGAGGTTACCATAGCCTCCAAGATCAAATATACTTTGTTCAATATTTTTTGAAGATACACTATACCAAATTTCATCAAAATCCTTACAGTAGTTTTCTCGTGATGCGTTCTAAAAATTCTAAAAACAATAGCATCGGTCTCTTTATTTATAATAATGACTATTTCAATAAGATTTTTTTTACTATACGAATAGACTTTTATGGACGATATAATACGTAAGAATTGTACATCTATACTAATATTATAAATCTATCTATACTATTTTATAAAGACGTAAAATTTGTGAGTTTGTGAGTTTATGACGTTGTAGGGGGTAATCTCTGGATCTACTGAACCGATTTAGATGAAATTTGGTAAGAAGATAGTTTGAAACCCTGGAAAGGGCATGGGATACTTTTTATTCCGGAAATCATTCCTTAAGGGGGTGAAAATGGGGATGAAATTTTGTTTTGGGAAGCAAGCTAGGGAAGCGAGGGCGAGTCGCTAGTGTTAATATATAACCTAACAAATTACTTAAGAAAATCTACACAAATTTAATATTTAGTGGTACGGAACACTCGGCTCACGAGTCGAGTCGCACTCATCCAATGTTTATTTATATAGATATAGTCTTAGTATTTTCTTTGACTACTGAAAGATATTTGCATATCTATACAATAATAAAGGGTCGTGTTTATTTTTATAAGTTCTTACTTCACATTAAATAAAAATGATAAAACTTTATCATTTTTTACATCACGATTTTTAAATATTACACATAGATAATGAGATAAATGGAATTAAATTGAGTTGCTTTTCGACCGATAACCGAGTAATTAGTTCAATGATAAGTAATAAGTATGATTGGTCCAATCTATTTGCGTTTACATGAACAATTGCGGTTTTAGTAACGTATGAATGAATAACGTTATGAATTATGATAAGCAAAAATAAAAATTAAGTAATAATATCTATACAGATAAATAAAATTGAAGTATCTGTTTGTAATGTCAAAACAACAGCTTTTTATTAAATGCATATGAAAGTAGGTATATACGGTACTAATAAGAAAAAAACTTTTATTAAAATTTTTGTCTGTTCGTTCCGACTAATCTTCGAAACGGTTGGACTCATTTTGACGGGACTTTACTGGCAGATATCTGATGTTATAAGGAGTAATTTAGGCTACTTTTATTGTATAAAAAGATTTAGGGTTCCGCTAAAAAAATCGTACCCAGGGAAACACGTTAAGTCGTAGTAAGTTACATAATACATCGGTATATTATATTTAATAGAGTTTTGTACATAATAAAAATTAAAAAGACATTCATTTTAGGATCAAAGAGTATCGTCAATCTAAAGACTCTTTGAGTATCAGTTTTATATGGAATTCATTATAATATATTAACATTTGTTTTTTAATTTTAACTCTTTAGGCACGTTTTTTTATATTTAGAGATGTTAAACTTTTCATTGAATCAAAACAAGTTTTGCGTAAAAAATAACTGTTACATGTTTTAATGACTATGGTAAGTTTCCATTCCAAAAAATCTTACTTGTTTTAATAAATAAACACTGATAAAATACATTATTTATATATTAACAGCCAAATTCATGTTTTTGAAATTAAATTGCTTACATTAAATTAAACGTTTGTGCTTTGTTTTGTAAAATCGTGTTTTTCCGAAAAAAGATATAAAATTACACATTTTCAGAAAAGACACCTACCTACCTGTACCTATAGATAATCTAAAAGCAAAACCTTATCTAAATACAAAATTAGATCCAAATCGTTACAGCCCTTTCCGATATACACGAAATTTAATATACGAGTATAATATATAAAATTGCTCTTTTAATATTATAAGATTTTTAACTTATTATTTATATAACATAAATATAATAACAGTTGTATTTATTGATCACAAATAGACAGCATTCAACAAAACTAAAAATAACCAGACAATCTAGAATTTCTTTAAGACACTTAGGTATTCTATAAATATCTACTACATACCAAGTAACTCTTAATCTTATTACATGGAACCATCAGACTGTGGCATGGATGTATTTCATGTGTAAAATCTTAAAATAGTTCAAAAAAATTTCGTTAATTGTATAGTAATTAAACAATTAGTGTGTTTTAGCTAAATTATATAAATACGTAACACGATATCCTATAAGCGTAGCATTTAAAACATCATGATCCAATAAGTATAATTATATTACACTAAATTCGCCTTAGTTTAGTTTATCATCCTTATCGGATTGACTCCGAAAGTTTATCCTCGGTTTACGCACGTTGATCAGGAGCAAGGTCGAGCGGGTAGCGCAGCGCACCCGGCGCGCGGCAGTCCGTACGCTGCGCTCGACACACCACCATGCTGGACGGGGACCCCCCGCTCCTCACCCCCGCGCCGCCTTCCCGCCTCGAGCGCACGCTACGCACGCTTCGCTCGCCGTTCCGCCCCGGCTCGCCCTTCCACTTCGCCTCGCTTAAGCGAACCGGCTTCGTTAAATCCTCAGTATCGGACAGTGAGATCGCGCGAGACGAACGCACTATGCGCAAGAAAAACAAGAAACGTACAGAGGCGATCGGCGGCGCGTCGCGTAGTACCGACAGCTCGCCGACCGTGGAAAAAAAGAAACCTGGCAGCCTGCTTAAAAGGATGAGTAGTTTAGGTAAGCGGCGTGGTGACAGCTCCACGCCGACCTCCCTGTCGGAGGATCCCGAATCCGAAATCGATCAAGTTCCGCGAAAAGAAAACGTTTTAATACACGAAAACGTTTTAAATGAACCACAGACATCTGATTCTGATAAAAAAAATAATTCTCAAATAAGTACGGAGTCTGACACGAAAATGGAACCAAAATTAAAGGCTGAAGTGACGAGCGAACCTGAATTAAAAACTAACCCTGACGAAAAAACGGAGTCTGAAGTAAAAAAAGAGCCCTCTGTACAAACAGAATCCGAAATAAAGGAAGAGGTTGAAACAAAAAAGGACAGTGAACAAAAAATGGTGCCTGAAAATCCTGAAAAACAGGAAAGTAACGTAGATAATATCGAATCGACGAATAATACAAACGAATCACCCGCATCCCCCGAGCCCCCATTCATTACGCTAGCTGTAGAACATCCGGTGGCGATGCGCGCTTTCAGCAAGGAAGCGTGGAAACGTCGTCGCAAACCTGAAATCGTGAAACCCGTGGAGGAGCCGAGTCCGGGCAATGCTCTCAAACGTCGCATTGCGTTCGTCGCGCAGGCGTCTGTCGCCTTGTCGGAGGATCACGACGACGACGACGACGATGACGACGAAGTGGAGGAGGGTGGGGGTGAGGTGGGGTCTTTGGAGGAGGCGGTGGCGCTCGCCCGTCAGAGACTAGCCATGGCCGCGCACTCGCCCGCGCCGCCGCACTCGAGCGACAACAACGAGACGGAAGAGGAGGGGTGTGCGGACACGACGGACGCGCCGGACACGATGCCAGCGTACGGAGACCTCATCGAGCCGGAGAGCAAAGCCGACAGCGAGGACGTGGTGAGTGTAGCGGTGTATACTTGTGCCGTGTGGCAGTCAGTGGGCGCGAGCAGCCCGTGCGATGCGCGCGCGCCATGACCTTCGAGGAGACCGGTGACGAGTGCTACCTGACGGTGTGCGAGTGCTGCGGCTTCAGCGCTGAGACGTCGCTGTTGTTTCCAGTACGTTACATTTCACGATAGTTTACAGCGGACTAGAGGACGCCACGATGCCCTTCGTGAGTACACGTCAAGCTTAACTGTCCGTGTGCTTTGTAAATTCCTATTTTGTTGAAATCTATAACCTTATTATCTGCACGCAATATTTCGAGCCATTTGTTTTGATAGCAGATTAAGCTTTTGATAAAGTTTTAAAAAACTTTTTTTTCGACTGAAATGATTAATCTTATATATACAATACTTAAAGTAAATTAGAGGGCCAAAAAATATCAAGCAACTTTAATAAGTATGCACTCGCATGTGAGTACGTTACTCGCATTACGCATATAGTATTTAGTCGAGAGTCAATGAACAAGTTGATTGTTAACTTTCGCTTTGGTCTCTGTCTATGGAACTTACATATTAAAGTCATCATATAGGCATCAATTAATGACAAACATAAATGTTTTATTTAAAAAACCATTTGCTTTTATCTTATAAATTAATTATATTTTTTTTCGAAATTATATCTGGCACGCGCTAAAGATATTAACAAAAAAAAATGACAAACGAACATCACTAATTTACATGAAAAACTGGAAAATTATAATTTAAAACATATTAAAAAAAGAATTTCATTATTGTTTTATAATTTACGACTATTCATTAATATTTAACATTAAGTATAATAATATTAATTGATAGTAATTACAACTGTACCAAAATTATTGCGAAACTTTTAACTTTAAAGCAATCTTTCATTTAACGAAACAAGTAACAACCCAATGTAGAGATACCTAAGTAGTCGATTTCATATATTTAGGGAGCAAAAGCCTGTTTTTGAAATCAATGTGGAGTCCTAATGATGTATTTACATGAAATTATAATTTATAATACCTTATTATAAATTAATATTATTAAAATCACATTTACAGACGGACAAAATTCCGATTTAGAGGACACAAGGTCGCATACTTGTTTATGGTAACAATCTTATAAAAATGAGTCTACTTTTAACTCATATTCTATTATTTATTTTCATTCTTTAATTTAATATCTTATCTAGGTACGCGGTTATTTGTTATCAAATATAATATTTATACAATGACGAAGAATTTGTAAGTACTTAGTCTACACTAAAATAACCTAAATACGTTTTAAATACCTAAGTGGGTACGAAAATCTCCAAACGCCTGTTTATTTCATACTTATTTTGTAATAAAAAGCGTCAGAAGCCTAAATCTAAATTCGTGTTCATAAAATGTCATGGCATTTAAGTTCTAGATTCCGGTAATGCATATTCTTTTATACAAAGTTATACGTAAGATAAGACATTTTATAACTGTTCTAGTTTTTTTTTCATATATAGAGTACTTAAATATACTAATATTAAGAGGTAAAGTTTGTGAGTTTGTGACGTTGTAGGGAGTAATATCTGGACCTACTGAACTGATTTAGATGAAATTTGGCGAGAAGATAGTTTGAGACCCTGGGAAGGACATAGGATACTTTTTATTCCGGAAATCAGCCCTTAAGGGGGTGAAAATGGGGATTAAAGTTTATATGGGGAGTCAAGCTAGGGACGCACCCGAGCGAAGTGAGGGTGAGTCGCTAGTGTTTTATGTAGCGCTGATATTATATAAAACTTGCGACTTACCCTGCTTCTCTCTGGTGCGTCCCTACTTACGTTTTATTTGTTTTAAGCGGGACTCTAATGGTTTTTCTAAAATAAAAGTAGCCTAAGTTACTCCTTATAAATAAATTATCTGCTAGTGAAACTCCCGTCAAAATCAGTTGTTTCGGAGATTAGCTATAAGACCCAAATAAACAGACAGACAAAAAAATTAAAAATTGTGTTTCTCTTATATATACCGTATATAATTTCATATGCATTAGTAAAAAGCTGTTATTTCGACATTACAAAAGACCTTTTATTATTTGTCTTATAGAAAAGTAAGCGATGTAATTATTCAATTCAAATTCCTTGTTAATGGTAATTATCATAATGATCACATTTTGACATTGACACTTCTTGACTTCAAAATGAACACTAAATTATTCTAGCATATCGATAAATTCTAGATTTAACCTACACGGTTGAATGCGCATGATATTTGTCGTGGGTTATTTTTCAAATATTAATAAAAATCTAATCGTCTCTAGTCGTAGATTCACGAATTCATTTACATTTTAACTATTTTTTTAACTTATTATGAGATAATTTTTGATTTGCTCTTCTATACATATAATAACATTCTGAGTCGAATCTGTACATTAAATATTTTTAGGAAAATCTTATTGAAATAGTCATTAATATCGATAGGTACAGAGTCTGTCTGTCTGTTACGGCATCACGAAAAACTACTGGAGGGATTTTGATGAAATTTTGTATGATGATAGCTGGTTATCCGGATCAACATATAGGATACTTTTTACTGTGGGAAAATATCTCATCTCTGAGAAATCTATACTAAACCTTAAAACGTAAGTAGGGACGAGTCGTTAGTCATAGGTATATATTATAATATCGATAAGCTCAAGCTTTATCTTCAGTTCCGATCATTAATTTGATTGACTTATAATGCTATATTTGAAATACTTCAAAAAGGAAATAGTCATATTTTTGTACGATTTAAAGGTTATATGGAATAAATAGATGGAAATAATAAGTTATAATTTTTTTTTAAACTCTATGAGTTGCGTAAAATTATTCTTTCAAATAGCATTACATAAATCTCAGTGATTTTGTAATATTATATTTATTTAAAAAAATATGTAAAAATGTCTACGATAATAAAGGAAAAAAATAACGAGTACATACCTACTCAACTACACTCACTAATGACTACACTATTGAAAAAACCATCAATCTATTTTATCATACAAATGTTGGATACTCTTTGAGATTTCATACGGTTTCTATTTTAATCTGAATATCCCTTACTAATTAAACTCAATCTTCACTTTGCCTTCTTATAGTTAGACCTAAATAGGATCCTTAACAATCCTTTTACGTCGTAAGTTATTAATCGCTTGAAGCGCTGTTTTCTTTCCACATGATAATGTTCGTCTAATCTTAAAGCTGCTGAACAAAGCTTACATTGGTTGGGGGTCACCGCTGCTGCGTAGGGAAACCGGATACCGCATATAGGTTTACCAAGCCGCGGTTCCGACGTTTGTGCAACGTGCATTTTGGTGTCGATAACTGCCGTTCACTACAATGGCCATATTCTAATCTAGTTCAAGGATATTTCGAATAAAAATAGTGTCAATCATTTATACCTTCTTAGATTACCTTTGACCTCATAATATGTAATAGATATCTAAGGGAAAATAATGGCGAAATTTTTTAAGAAATATTTTTAAATAATAACTTTTTTGTGACGCAAGTTTAGGAAATAGTTGGTCGTTTTGTAAATTGGATAATATGTTGACCTCGTTACATTCTGGGATTCATCTATCAATAGATGGACAAGCAATGCTAGGACTTAAGTTTATTTTTGCTTTACACAGAGTTCAAGGTAAAGTTGTAAAACTTTCATTGTCTATTTAATTTATCCCATTAATATTATAAATGGAAAAGTTTAGATGAATGGATGTTTGTTAATCAATCACGCCAGAACGGTTCAACGGATCTAGATGAAATTTGGCACAGAGATAGATTATAGTCTGGAATAGTATATAGTTGACTTTTAATCCCGGAAAAATGTACGGTTCCCGTGGGATAGATTTGTTTATGTTTTTCACTAAGGACGAACTCGAGCGAAACGAAGGTGAGTCGCTATACAAATATACATTCATTTTGCCTACATTTTCATCACACGTGAGTAATATGAAGATAACAATTAATTAATTATCTTTAGTATATAATGCAATTATATCTTAATAATCGCATTAAATAAAAATATTTTTTGATGATATTACAATTACAGATATACGGTAAAAATACTTTTACATATATAGATTGATTTTTACGTGCAAATAAGAGTTACGAAAAATTTCAAATTGCTACAATTTTTTTCATAATTTAACACTTTCATAGATTTACGCGAGTATTGGTCAAGACGATGACTGTTGTAAAGCATTCGAAACGTAGGGATCTAAAAATCATAATAAAATTGCGAAACAAGTCGAAAAGATAGTTTTGTTAAATAATTTACAAAAAAAAAAAATACTGCGTAAAATATAAAAAGAAGTATAAAAAGAAAAAAACAAATTGATTAATAACAAAAAAATAATATGCAGTCGGAGACATACAATATACGTGGCGAGACTCGGAGCAAATACGTATGTATGTCATCAAAATCGGCCTACGAGTTTGGTTCCTAGAACGCCACATAGGAACAAACATACCTACATAAATTGGTAAACACATTACCGTCCTTTGTGTCACGCAGTCGGGTAAAAATGTGTTTTATAATTTGTTTTTATTACAGTTATATCTCTTATTACAATAAAACTAGTTCCTGTAAATGTAGGCGGTTTAATTGCCATTTTTAAGTGGTGTCAGTCCAAAGTTGTCTGTCACGGTTAATGTGGGATGGATAGAGTTTTTTTACTTCTTTTATCATATGGTGGGAATAAAGCAACATTTATGATTTCCTTTTGTAAACCTGTATTTCGATGTGCATTTTAATTTATGCTAATATTTTTAACAGTATAAGGAGTGTACTAATTACGCATAGTAATTTGTAAAAAATTAGTGAGAGAGAGAGAGAGAGATTTGGAAAAGATTAATGATTATAATCATGCTTCCTTGATTCAAAAAGCTTAGTACGTTGTTAATTCTGAAAGTGAAGAAACATTGTTTTAGAAAAAGTAGGAATCGTTACTATTATAAATTAACTAGCATTTCCCGCGGCTTCGCCCGCGTTCAGATGACCAAAACCCAAATTCTTAGGTTTTACATATTAGTATATACTCTTACAATCCAGTTTTTGTCTTTTTTCTCAGAAATGAGATATTTTTCCGCAGTAAAAATTATACTATATGTTCACCCGGATAACCAGCTATCGCCATACCAAACTTCATCAAAATCTCTCCAGTGGTTTTTCTGTGATGCGCTAACAGACAGGCAGACAGACAAAAAAATCTAAAAACTATAGATTCGTCATCTGTATCGATAATAATGTCTATTTCAATAAGATTTTCCAAAAAAAAAAATTTAATCTACAAATCCGGCTTAGTTAGAATTTTATTATATGTATGGATTATAGTAAAATCATAGTCAAACAATTATACATATTTATAGGCAGCTATAATGTTGCCTTACATTGTTGTTATCACCGGCCCAAGAAACTGTATCGACGGAAAGATCCTACAGAACCCGTTTGTCTCGTTTGGACTGTGGACATAAGACGTAGGTACATAAAATTCATGGTGATTCGGTTAAATCTTAAGTGAGCTTTAGAATATAGTTAAACAATACAGAAACAAATTTTATCAAATAAAGTAATTTCATATTTTAATAAGATTAATGAAATAAAACATCAAAATATATTCTGGAAAGATGAAGTAATATGACAAATGTAGCTACTTGAGTCCTTATCATGTGTCCGATAAGCTTCACTCCAAGTGGCTAAATAAATAGTCGGTCATCGGACTCCAGTAATAGCTCGATATCGTAAACCGACGGTGCCGTACCGTTTAAGAGTGGAATTCAATTAAAATTAATTATAATTGAAACAGTAGAAGTGCTTAATTTTGACATTTAATTGGCGGAACTGGCGGAACCCTTTAAAGAACCTAAACTTTTAATATTTCTAATTTAAACATATTTTTCCAGTGAATAACCTTTTTTCGTGTTGTTTAGAATAAGTAAATGAATTATTTCTCCTCTATTACGATTAATTGCTTATATTAATTGACTTTTGATATTTAAAAAATTAGATTGAGAAAATAAGAAAAAAATTAATTTAGATTATAAATCAGGGTAGTGAGCCATGTCAAGTTCTGTTTTAAAACATCTTTCGGGGCAACAAGATTTTTATATCAACTAAGTGTTTTTTTTTATATTTATGTGAAAATGTCGCCGAAGCAAGTCAAAACAGTAAGTGTTCTGTGAATTTCCTAGGTATAAAATATCTCCACTATCTCGTCAAAAGCTCATGAACTCGGTTCACTTGTTCTTAAGATTACGGAATCTGGTGAGATGTAAACAAAAAAGATATTTATTTTATATTATATAAGCAAAAGTATTACCTATAAGTATATAATTTACTAGCTATTACCTACGTCTCCACTCGTATACTATGATGATGAAAAAGAGTGGTTATTACATCCATTTTACCTGAACTCATTCAGAATCTCTTCTCATCTCATTTTTTTGAAGTTATACTTGTTTTGGCACGTTTGTAAAAAAATATGAGAGTAAAATTTTTATAGTGCGCGCGCACACCGACAGCCGAAAAGCGACATGATGAAGTTAGCTACATTCCTTTTACAAGCAGAGAGTTGTGACATACGGGATGAAGTCTTTAGCTATTTTTGTTCTGTTACGCCAAAGAAGTATAATTTCTTACGTGCGTACATACTCGTAAGTACATACACACGTTTTTTTTATTATTAGTATTTTAGAAATTGAACAAGATAAACGATTCATAGTTGCCAATGTTCTGGAAACATATTTTATAAGATGTAATTCATTCGAGAGTCTAATAGGTTTTGTAATTTTTTATGTAGTGTTTGAGTCTAGATATGCAAATGATATCTTTTGGTTTTTAAATATAGAAGTATGTCGATCTGCATTTATATTATAACTCTTTTGTAAAAATCATATAGTAGGTATGTATGTGATATGAAAAAAATTTTAAAAATATATTTATATGCTGTTTTAAATCATTAGTACAGCGGTAATGTATTTAGGAAGGCATTTTATTTTTGAAATACTTATTCTGTCATTAATACTTAACTTGAACTACCTATATTCAAAAATTAGATTTCCATTCATTCTTGTTTAATGAAAATCTAATTTTTGATGAAAGCTCTTAAAGTTTAAGTTTCTTAAAGTTTACATTTTATAAATGTCACCCTTAGACGTGGAGAGTTTTTCGTAAAACCTAAACACAACCTTTTAAAGATGGCAAATTTTATTACTTTATAATACGTACAATCGCACTCATTGAGTTTAAGTGGTCATTGACAATGTTTGGAGTTAAATTAATTTTTGGAAGGTAAAACAGGGATTCAGCTTGTTTTTCTCTTACTTTTATGAGTTCTCGATATTTCAGCACTGTACAATGTACATACATAAGTGATAAGTGTACCCATGACGTAGATCTCAACATGATAAATATTCTGTTCTACATATATAACAAAAATGTCTTAACGTCTGTGTAAAATATACCTACCTATATTTGATATTTAGATAATCAAACGTTTTTGAGATAAAACATCATTTTTTAATCTTTGAATATTCCTTTTAAGTATTAATAGGTATATATATATATACAGTATTTGTTTACTTATGAGAATATGAAAACTTGCTTATAAGTAAGTATATATTTAATGTCATGTGTTTTGATCACGACTGATTATACGGACCGGTAGATGTATAGACACGCGATAGGAAATGTACAGCCGATTGTTAATTGGAATAGATTAACGTCAACAAGGATTAGAAGTCGAGGTCGGTAATATGTTGTTCATATGAAGGGAACCGTGAAGATTTTTAGTAGTTTTCTCATAAGAAACTATTATTGACTAAACCTAGATTGCTTAGCTTAAAATGATTGTTATCTTTATCTATACATATAAAAAAATTGTAACTAAGTCAAATCAGTATATTAAATATTTTTTGGAAAATCTTATTGAAATAGACATTATTATCGATACAGAGTCCGAAGCTATAGTTTTTAGAATTTTTGTGTCTGTCTGTTACCGCATCACAGATAAACCACTAGAGAGATTTTGATGAAATTTGGTATGGTGATAGCTGATTATCCGGGTCAACATATAGGATACTTTTTACCGCAGAAAAATGTCTTATTTCTGAGAAAAAATACAAAAACTGCAATGTAAGAGTACACTAATATGTAAAACCTAAGAATTAGGTTTTTGTTCATCTGAACGCGGGCAGAGCCGCGGGAATTGCTAGTTATATGTATATGAACAGAGCCACAGATAATATAATACTACTTAAAGAGCAATTCAACATGTGGTATTTTTAATAGCAATATTTGGAGGTATTTGAAAATCTAAATGAAATTATTCATTAAAAATTGCTATTTACCTTTTGAAGACGACAGCTAATAAGTATCTTACATAAAATTATGTTTTAAATAATATCAAGGAATAATAATATTATTTAAACAATTATTCGTCCAATGTTTTAAATGTTCTTACCGCTAAATAACTTAAATGTCTATAATAAATATTTTTTCTATTATTCCATAAGTATTTGAATAAAATTAGGCCACTTTTGCTGTGTAAACTTATTTGTTTTTAAAAACTTTCGATAATTTAAAAAATTGTACCACTATTTGAGAGCTTTCATTATTTGTACGTAGCGATAGAAAATTCCCACGGTAATCACTTAATACCATTGCGTGAATGAACTCATGGTAGGGTCACTTTTAATATTATAAGTAAGGTTTATGGGAATCACAAATAAAATAACTAAATAGATCTTTGCCTAACAGAACCAAAGCGTATGTATTGTATATGTATATAGCAGTTTCCGCGTGATCAGTATAGTATAGTATACTTAGGTATACTTAATATCAACAAGTACTTATCATGCCTATCTCGTCTTATACAAAGTATAATGAGATCAAAACTTGATTCTTACGTAACATACGTTTTGTTAGGTTAGGTTAGTAATATTAGTTTGAAGTAGCAAAACAAAGGGCTTGTGATGCTCGCTAGAAAAAAAAGACAAAAATATGTCATTCTTGTTGTACAAGAAATCATTTTTTTGTATTGTACTACTGGTACTTGGTTTTTTAGTAATATCAACAAGTGCTTGTTTGCGTGCGTACTATGTTTGTGTACGTGGTACTTATGTTTAGTGCGTTTGGTTTTGCTAGACGAGCTAGAGTGGTTATCTAGAAAATATTAATAGGTGACTAGGTTCGAGACCATTTCCGCAGCACCGACCAATATTTATGATAGACGTGGTCGTGTAGAATGTAACATATTGTAAATATTTTGTCGGTGGAAACCACTCAGTATTGTAGTAAATAATTAATTACAAATTATTTTCTGATTTTGAATTTTCACAATGCTAAGTTACGTTGTTCTTTTAGTGTTAAACATGAACTCATGCTACCGCTTATATCATAGATCTTCGGTCCCAATCTTGCCTATGACTAATGTTTATTATTAGAGATCAGTAGTCCCCCTCGCTTCACTCATAATAACAGAAAAGGAGATTTTTTCGACTCATATTACAAATATTATCTACCATACCAGTTGTAAATTTTTTGTATGTTTTGCAAAATATCAATAAGTTATAGCCTACAATGTTCTCAGATAATCTCTCTTTCTATTAGTGCATGAAAATTCATATAGTAGTTTCTGAGATTAGCCTGAAAACGGAAAAAAACGCAAACTTAGCGCTACGGGGTCTTTAATTTACGAGTATAATATGAAGTGAGTGTGCTTTTGGCTTTACAATATGTTGTGGTAAAAGTACCATTGCGTGTGTCACTGTTGACGGAAACCTAAGAACTGTGAGAAGTCCACATTTTAATTTTGACGTACAAAAGAGAAAGTAGGCGAAAGTGATATAATTAACTAGTACGAATTACATGACATTGGACATAAAAAATAAACCGACTTTCAAAAAGGAGGAGTCTATCTTTGTTCTAGTCTATTATTGTATGTATTTCTTTCTGTATATTTAAAACTTTTAAGACGATAACTTTACGAGTAGGTACAAGTCGTAACCACGGGTATTGTACGTTGTAATTTGTAAGACACTGTTTCTGTTAAAATAACTTAATTATAACGAAGTCTACCATTCACTATGACGAAAGACTGACACACTATTTTATTTATTTCAAAGATTTATGAAATCTTCGCAAATTGTATATATTGTACATAGTTTTTCTGTACCTTTAATTTTCATTATCATAATAATGGTGTTTTATCAGCTTACAACTTCAGAGGTAAAATAATTTTTCTAACAACTAAAAGTTTCGTAGTTTGAAATTATTTTCTACTAGCAGAACCCGCGGCTTCGCTCGCGCTAAAACTACAAAAAACCTCTAAAAGGGTAGGTTTCATACAAACTTTTATACCCTATTTTATTCCCTTTATGGAATGAATTTAGAAAAATGCTAAAACACGTATTTATTTAATTGTATTGAAGAGCATTAATACCAAGTATCAAGTAATTCTGAAAATATTTTTTTTGTTGTATTATAACGTGTTTTCCTGTGGGAGTGAAGGAATTTCCCGCGATAAAAAGTAGCCTATGTCATTCTCCAGCCCTCCACCTATCTCCACACAAAAAACACACACCAATCCGTCACTACGTTTCGACGTGAAAGAAAGACAGACAAACAAACAAACAAACAAACAAACAAACAAACAAACAAACAAACAAACAAACACACTTTCACATTTATAATATTATTAGTATTAGTGTGGATATATTTTTTTACTTTATAATTCTACATTTTATATACTTAGTACATACCAAATATATACTCAAGATACACAATTAGCGTTCCAAAAGTGTCCTCAATGAAGTCGGTTAAAAAGAAACACAATTCGAAATAATTACATATGCGCTTTTTTCAAATCTCTTTTGTTCATTGCTTTTCGGATGATAAAATTAAAATGCACATTGTTTCATTTAAAAAGTACTTTATGTAGTGTACGTAAGTTCAAATTTGTGTATAACAATTAGGATTTACATAATGTCGACGCAACTTTTTGAAGATATATTTGTTAGGAAATGTGTGTATATTTTTTATAGTATAACAATGCGCATATATCGCATACTAGGTTATTTTGGAAGTACATTTTTCTCCATCGAATCAAATCAAAATTAGGTTGTTATAATTATACTAGCATTGCGCGCGGCTCCGCCCGCGTTCAGATGACCAAAATCCAAATTCTTAGGTTTTACATATTAGTATACTCCTACGATGCAGTTTTTGTATTTTTTCTTAGAAATGAGATATTTTCCCACCGTAAAAAGTATTCTATATGTTGACCCGGATAACCAGCTATCACCATACCAAGTTTCACCAAAATCCCTCTAGTGGTTTTTCCGTGATGAGGTAACAGACGGACAGACGAAAATTCTAAAAAGTAAAGATTTGGACTCTATATCGATAATAATGTCTATTTCAATAAGGTGTTCCAAAAAATATTTATTGTACAGATTCGGCTTAGTTACAATTTTATTATATGTATAGATTTAACGTTCTTTCGTTTACAAAAAAATGGCCTACAATTTTCTTATTATGCGCATTAACGAATAAAAAAAAACATTTTTTATTAAATATTTTTTCTAAGATCAAAATCTTCTGGCAGTTATTTTTTTGAATAAAAAAAACCAAAAAGCTCCACGTACAACATTTATTAAGTAAAAAATTAATAAAATATACACAATCTTGTGGTAAACAGTCCAAAACAAATTATGTAAAACACTTATAAGACGGATACTTGGAATATCTTATTACAATCTCATTGACTTAACTAGGGGACGTAAGGCTTCACTCACGTGATTCTCATACCAGGTCATTTAGTAGGGTAGCACTTCGTTAATAAGTATACCGCCTATAATGAATATGGCAAGTGTAGATTTCAAATAAAATGTGGAAGTCTTACAAAACATGACATCAATACACATAAATACTGACGAGGTAAAAATATTTATTAAATATTTCGTTCTGAGTTTTTTTTTGCTATAATTATATCGTAGGTATGCTATTTTTGTTGACGCTACTCATGTTAGGTGCAAACTAGAATATGTAGTAAAATCTTGAAATGAACTAAAAGTGACTCTGTAGATAGGAATCGTGAATAATACTTTTAGGGAAGTGTTTTTAACAAGATCCTGCAAAGGATGTAATTAAGATATGTTGGAATCAACTATTTCTACAAAAGCTAGTTTCATTACTAAGTTATATAACATGGGCTAGTCTGCTTGTACTGTAAATTTTTAATATTGTTTTTTATTACAGGTGGATCAAACTGCTTTAAGTCACTTGAATTCTTTAATTATATTGATTTATACTTTCTCTTTTTTTATTTATTAAGTTGCGTTTTGTTTATAATAGTTTTTTACCGACTTCAAACATCGTTTAATTCATCTTGTACTTTTTCGGATGTAAGTGTACGAGTATGTTACGAGTATGTGCTTGATGTCTTGCCATATGTAAATCGATTTTTCAAATTCTTTTTTAATGATTTATAAAATTGATGCCATATAAATTAAAGTGTAAATTCCACTTACATACTTTCAGTGTAAATTTTGAAGTCGGTTTTACTTAATCCCTCCACGACCGCGGACACGCCGGCGTGTCATTTAACAATAGATTTCTTAGAAATTTAAATAATTTCTTAGAAATTTAAATAATTTCTTAGAAATTTACTTGGAGGTGTTAAAAATAGTTATGAGTAATCAATACGTAAGACCAACCATCTGACTTAATAATTTCCTTTCAGACGCATGCACCAGCGAGTGCTGAAAGGCGAGAACATCTGTACAAGATCCTGGTTATCGGTGAGCTGGGAACAGGCAAGACTTCAATCATCAAGCGATATGTGCACCAGTTCTTCAGCCAGCATTACCGTGCGACGATCGGAGTCGATTTCGCTCTAAAAGTGCTCAATTGGGACGCAAATACTGTAATTCGTTTGCAGCTATGGGATATAGCAGGTTGGTATTTGACGTTTAAAGTGTTTTTTTTTTTGTAATATTTATCGTAATTATTAATATAAAATAATATAAAGAATTATTAAAAGAAATGCAGCTAAATCAGTTTTTGGAATAATTTTGTTTCTGCTTAATACCATAAAAAATATGCACATACCTTGAGAATTGAGGCTAGTAGGATTTCAAAATTAAATTTTATTTTATAGATAACAATAAAATAGTTTGGACTAGAAATATACATGTATCTAATTAACATACAAAACGGGGTTAATGTGTGTGATTGTGAATTCAATAGGCTAAATGCACCAATGTAAAATTTTTACCACCTAAAAAATTATATAAAATGTAAATTATTTTAAAATTGATTTTTTAACAGTATTATTAGCCTTATTTTTTTTGTTTATGGCCTCCAAATTAGTCGATTGAAACACTTTTTAAGGTTAATGCTATTATCAGAAATATTTATTTTAATTTATTTCTATTTTAGTAAACTCTAATATACATTGTGATTAGAATAATTATATGTACAGCACAGAAAAAAGTTTTCATAAATTAGTAATTTTGTATTGAAAAAAAAAAATTGACATTTCTAAAATCACTGATTTAATATAGAATTTAAAAACGAGAAATAAACGATGGACGATTTGGGATTAATGTTTTCATGGATGTTTATGTCACTTATGATTATTTATTTGTTACTGTTCATGTCGTTACTTATTATGGTTCCTTATTGATGTCAATATGTAAGCCCTGATTATTTTTTGTTTTTTGAAGCTTTATAATTTGTAACTTTAAGCTTATTGTTGTATAGATACCTATGCTTGAATTTTTTAAAGCCTCTATTTCAATATATGTAAAACACTAGTATAGTATTATATGATCTGTGGTAAAACGGAAGCTGTGTAGTTTCTTAACGAATAGGAATTCCAGTCGTAGTACTGCAAAGTGATGTTAAATAGTCTGTAAAATATATACAAACACTTCAGCGTATAGTTTAGTTATTAGTAAAATGCCAAAGTTTATTTACTTGTATTTAGTTTGATTGTCCTTACACGCAGTAATGGTGTGACGGATAAAGAATATTTAATCTTATCCTCCAAACCTAAAACAAAGCTGGTATTAAAAGTAACTAATACAACTAATTCCACGATTATCTTACAGGTCAAGAACGTTTCGGTAACATGACCCGGGTGTACTACAAAGAGGCAGTGGGCGCTTTCATTGTTTTCGACGTGTCCCGCGTAGCCACATTCGACGCAGTTGTTAAGTGGAAAAATGACTTAGACACTAAGGTTCAATTGGCAGATGGATCACCAATACCGTGTATATTGTTGGCTAACAAGGTATGTTTGGGTTCGAATAAAAATAAAATTACTGTTACAGTTTTCTATACTTAGAAGAAAAAAAGGTCGCTCCCGCTGTTTGTACGCTTAGATCTTTTAATCTACGCAACGGATTTTAATGCAGTTTTCAGCAATAGATAGAGTGATTCAAGAGGAAGGGTTGTATGTATAATACGTGCATATTATAGGTATTGATATTAACCGTTAAAACTACCTTAAGACGAACCCGAGCATAGCGAGGCTGAGTCGCTAGTTATTATGTAAATACAAATTTAAAATGTACGACTTTTAGTAGATATATTGCTGTGGAAAACATAACAATAACGTTCTATTAGTTCTGAGATCGGAAATTAAAGCAAATATTTTGCACTACGGATGTTTTATTGCTTTTAATTCACAAGAGTTACTTATGACGATTCACAAATACACGCAATACCTATATGTAATGTTTTGACTAAGCTCAGTGTCTAAACACTATTTTTCACTACTAATTACACTTGCATTTCACTTCACTTTTCCTCATTTTTGAATATTATCGTTCTCCACTCTCTATATACTCGTATAATGCCATAAAATAATTAATTTATTGTGTCATGGGTATTTCGTAGCACTTGTTTATCAAGTATGAAACGTTTTTAAAAAAACATACCTATATAAAACTTATAAAATATGTAAATAAAATGAATACACTTACACTCTTGTATGTACATTTTTTTCTTTTAAATTTAGTTTCTTTTAATTCTATCCCACAGTGCGACCAACAGAAAGAAGGTATAATAAACTCTCCAGCGAAAATGGACGAATATTGTCGGGAGAAAGGATTCGCGGGATGGTTCGAGACATCTGCTAAGGAAAATATCAACATCGAAGAGGCGGCACGATCGTTAGTCCATAAGGTAAGTAGAATACCTACTTAGTGAAATAAAAGATGTTAAGTTGAACTATACTTACGAATATTAAATCGTATTTTATAAAGCTAAAGGACATGTGTCCCATATAATTTTGATTGGGCGGTTAAAGCGTTATATAAAAATTAATTTACTTGACGAATATGAGAATTTCATTGCGGATGCTTTTTAGGAGCTAGTTGTAAATTTTTTTTAGTATTATTATTAATTAATTATACGATCAGTATATCAATTAAACGGTATACCTATTCTATCGTACACAATATAGACTTGTAGTAAAAACTTAAAATAATTTATCTACAATTTTATCCTTCTAACATCACAGTTTGTACCTCTATGAATACGATACCTGTAGGTACATTGTACATGCGAGCTACGACGCCGTTGTAGCCAATTAGAAAAACTGACAAATGTCAACTGGGGTATTCAGGGATAAATATTTTTACATATCCATACTAATATTATAAGTAAGTTTAAAAAACTTACTTATAATATTATATAATATATGGATGTTTGTTAGGGACTCTATCACGCCAGAACAGCCTAATGGATCTGGATGAAATTTGGCGCACAGAGCCTTACTTGGTTATATAGATATGTACCTATATAGATTAAGTCTGGAGTAGCATATAGCTTGCTTTTATCCCGGAAAAATGTACGTTTCCCGTGGGATAGTTTTTTTTGTCTAGCGACGAACCCGAAACGAAGCGAGTCTGAGTCGCTAGTCTATTCTAATTTATAATTTAAAAACCTACATATTATTATATTTAACCGAGCCACCTTTGGCTCGGCTGTCGCTGACAGGTTAAGCAATTCAGGTTCAGTAATCTAGATTCTAAATATAGATTAATATCACTTGTCTCTTTTTATATATTTACTAGCGGACACGACGGACGTTGTTCTGCTCGACCGTTGGCTTTTCGTTTTTGTTGCAAAATTGATTGATTTCTACAGCAAAAAAATATTACGACACAAAAAAATCATCAAAATTCGTCCAGCCGTGTAGGAGTAGTTCTGTGAAATACAAGACGAATGAATAACGCACTGGGAGGCGGCCTACTGCAGTGGGCGGTGTGCCATGTGGGTTGCTCCTGGTACTTCTCTGATAGCAGAGTGGACAGAGTAGACCGAACGGTTTTCGTGTTCTGCTTCGGTAGACCTGCCGTCGGGGCTTCGTGTTTGAGTGCGTAGGCTATCCTGTGACGCCCCATTAAAACGGGAGAGGTTCTATTGGGTTTAAGTGGATAGTCTGGCTTTGCCGGTAAGTCCCATATAATCACCTGTATGAATGCAGGTGGTATGCCTAAATGCACTTCCCGACGTTAAAAAATAAAGGTCAACGTCTGTCCGTTAGTAATAAAAATAGAAAATTCTAGAACCCGACTGCAGCGCCACCTACCAGGTCTAGTTGTTAATCTAAACCACCAAGGGACCCACTCAAACACACAAAAAAATCATTAAAATCGGTCCAGCCGTCTAGGAGGAAGAATGATATTTACATATTTATAAATATTTGTTAGTTTAATGGGAAGGTAATTTAGACAATTTACAAATCGATGATAAATGTTAAAATTCATTAAGAGGGTCTCTGACTTTAATGAGTTGTTGATAACGATTGAATAATTGCATTATATTGATTATTCTTATCCATTTGTAAAAAAATATATTAATCTTGATCGTATACGATAAGAGGAAGAGTTTCGTTAATTTAATTTTTACTTTTATACTTTTAATTTAGTATAAAAGTAAACCTATATGTAAATAAGTAGGTACATTTAGTTTAATACAAACCAATACATATATTATGTACATATTACGTACATATATTTAATACTCTTCGACTTATTGAAAAATCGCCATCGAGCACAGTCCACTTATTGTTCCACCACAAATAACTAAAAGAGAACCATAAAAAAACGAACTAAAAAGATGAGAACAAGTTGATAAAGAAGCATCGCATTGTGCTGTCGGAGACATACATGTTTCATACTAGTTGCCAGTGAAGTGGCAAGCCACGACACTTAATAATAAAAAAAAATATTTTCATACCTCACTCGATTGACTCGGATGACTTTTTTTTCAAAACATGAAGATTGGTTTTTAAAGTCTGCCATTTTGATTTTAATGATATCTATAGGATACTCGTGTTATTAAGACGAAACTAACAACGTACAAATTATCAAAATCGGTTCAGGTGTGTAGTAATTAGGAGAAAACGTAGGATCAGACATACATATTTATATAGGTACATACAGATCAAACACAAAATCCTCCTAAAAGTTTCGCCGCAATCGAGTAAAAATAACACCTCAAATATGCACATACATAAACACATCTTCACAGTTTCTTGACATGACATAACTTATTCCTGGAAATTAATGTATAGGCTGTAAGTACATTTTAAAGTAACACATTTTCTTATATATATATATATATATATATATATATATATATATATATATATATATATATATATGTCACTACATAGGCTATTTTTTACCGCGGATGATTATCTCATTACCATGGGAAAAATAGTAATTTATCCCACAACAACATAAGTATGACCTATGTAATATATGTGTAATATATACATACATATGTACGTATACTTTATCTATTCCATACTACCCGTTTAAACGTACCTAGGGACGAACCCAAGCGAAACGAGGGTGAGTCGCTGTTTAATAATAAAATAATAGATGTAGTGTTTTGTATAGAAAATTTACTGTTCTTTTTAATTTTTTAATTAAATTCCAAATTCGAATTATTTTTCTAATGTTAAACCGGATGTAAATATTTCAAATAATCTTTTTAATAACTTCGACCATTTTAATATTCAAGTTCTTATTCAAAAATAAAGCTATAGATAATTTTTGTCATAAAAATTACAGAATGGAATTTAAATTAGTTTAAGAGATAAAACGATTAGAGTACCTACGTACAATGTACCTAAATGTCGCATTGAGCGAGGTAACTGGCGCTTGTTATAGCCGGATTTTTAACGTGAAGACATTAAAACGTTGATTATATTTCAATAATATTGATTATGTATTATTCCCTACCTATGTGTATTATTATAAGATTATTTAATATCTAAATTCTAAAACTGTCTGAAAATGCATATTTTAAACAAAAATATGTGTTATAATCGATCTAGCCGTTTCTGAGATTAGCCGAAACAAACATACCGAGAGAGAAAGACAGATTAAAAAAAATATCTTATAAGTACTGCGTATACTTTCATATGCATTAAGTAAAAATCTATTATTTTGATATTACAAACAGACACTTTAATTTTATTTATTTATTTGTATGGACTATAGTTTTGTGTTTTGCGTTTATGTTGCGCGATATTATCGCTTATGTATTACCTGTTTTCATGATTATATTTTTAATTAATTAATTATACTATAAGGGTAGTTCCACATAAATTTCAACAAAAAAATCTAACTTTTTTGGGTTTGGACCCTTGTAATTATTTCTTTAAAAATTTCTACTTAAAAAGTATTTATTTTTATTAGTATTTCCGTTCTGTCCCTAAGTTATGGTGTTTGATTAATTAGATCAATAATACGTCCTGAGAAAACTAAGAAAATATAGAATATTTAATACGACTATCTTTTCGGATTTTGTCGCGGATTTATTTGGATTTTTGTTTCCCGACGTTTCGAATGCTTTACAGCATCCATGGTCACGGGAGAGACTGAGGTGTTACATGTCTTGAATGTATAGTTGTTACAGACAGCCTACCCACAATTAACAAAATGAAAATTGCACCAATTACATTACAATATTTTTTAACTTTAAACATTTTTATAATTTTAATTATAATTGAATATGGAAAATTATTTATTTAATTTTGCTATTATTTTTATAATTATTACAATTTTAAAATATTAATTAGTAATCTATATTTAGTGTTGCCATTATTATATTTATAACCATAAAGAAATATATAAAATGTAGTATTAATTATTAAAGCCATATAATTGTTCTATGTGTAATTTAAAAAGTTAAAATTAATTAAGGATAATAATTTTAATTTAGTTTGCTATTATTTAAAAACAACTTACTAAGCAAAAAAAAGAATTAAAATTATTATCCTTAATTAATTTTAACTTTTTAAATTACACATAGAACAATTATATGGCTTTAATAATTAATACTACATTTTATATTTTTCTTTATGGTTATAAATATAATAATGGCAACACTAAATATAGATTACTAATTAATATTTTAAAATTGTAATAATTATAAAAATAATAGCAAAATTAAATAAATAATTTTCCATATTCAATTATAATTAAAATTATAAAAATGTTTAAAGTTAAAAAATATTGTAATGTAATTGGTGCAATTTTCATTTTGTTAATTGTGGGTAGGCTGTCTGTAACAACTATACATTCAAGACATGTAACACCTCAGTCTCTCCCGTGACCATGGATGCTGTAAAGCATTCGAAACGTCGGGAAACAAAAATCCAAATAAATCCGCGACAAAATCCGAAAAGATAGTTTTATTTAAAATGTCAAATATTCGCGTAAATCTAAGAAAGTATTATATTTAATACGATTCAAAGATTAGAGTAGTAATAAATTAAACATTTAAAAAACCCCCTACGCAAATTAATTGTCATTTAACGATTACACTGGAACGCGTGAAGCACTTAGTAATCATACGCCAAAATGCCTTACATCATTTTGGAAAAGAGCTCTTACACTGGTGGACCGATATTAACCAAACATAGCTAAGAACCACCGCAACGAAACTGGCTTTCAAATGAAAAAAACCGCATCGAAATCGGTCCATCCGTTTGAGAGCTACGATGCTACAGACACACACACACACACAGACAGACATCGACGTCAAACTTATAACACCCCCCTTTTTGCGTCGGGGGTTAAAAATTAGTGGTCCCATAATAAATGACATTTAGCATAACTTGATGGTTTTGCATAGTATTATAGAAATGAGTTGTAGTGTGG